CGGATCTTGGTATATCATTAAGTGTAATGATAGTCAGAAACAACATTGAGAGTATGACATTAGAAGAATGATCATATTCAATTGACCCAACTTGTTTGTTATACTACGAGATATAATCATCACAAGTCAATCGATATAACATGGAGAGTCAACGTATGCTTTAGTTCCTTAGACCATGAGAATGTCATAGCCATTTCTTACTGGACAATGGGCTTTGTGGTTGCTCAAACGTCATCTGTAACATGGTGATCATAACGACAACTTACAGCTTTTTCGGGAAGTTTGACAAGGGCTGGAGAGCTTAAGAGTGGGGTTTGCTCCTCCGACGATGGAGAGATATTCTAAGGGCCCTCTCAGTGTGATGACATCCATCATCGTCTGTACAAACACAGCTGACTAGGTCACAAGGATATCGGAACATGTCAACGAGAAAGAACAAAATCGATAACGAGGAGACCGATATAGTGAGCATGAGAATGACTCAAGAAGATGCTGATACATCTTTCCTCGGGTTTTGTAAAGTATCATAAAGCAAAGGGAATAGCACATGATAACCAAAGGTTCACTCGAATATCATTCGCATATTCATAGGGATCAATGTGAATATTTATGGTTTCGTTGTTGGTCATTGAACGAATGGGAGTTTTGTTCATGTCTATGTTTTACAAAACCTACAAGGTCACAAGCTTAAGGGAATCATGATCTATTGAGTGTTAGTAGAGTGAGAGTTATGAGAAAATATTCTCGAAATAGTTTTGGGGATAAAAGAAATAGTTTCGAGAGAAACCGGAAGCGTTTCGGAGTTACCGGAAGAGTTTCGGGTATTGGGAAATCATATATAGGAAGAAATTGTTTCTGGGGACCTAATATAAATAATAGAGGACATACATAATGATCTAGGAGTCCCTAGAATTTATTTAGAATCAATGGGCTAAAGGAAATATCAATTGGCCTATTAGTGGAGAGCTAATGGGCCTTGAAGGCCCATGTAGGGATGGCGCCCCTTTTAGCTGGGCGCGGGGGAGTTGGAGAAGGACTCCTCCACCTTGGCCATGACCCAAGAGAGGATCACCCCCCTCCAAGTCAGCCTAGCCCTCCCTCCACCTATATATATATATATATATATATATATATATATATATATATATATAGTGTTACTATTCATCACCCAGGGTGCAGAATAAGTTATTCTTTACCCGAGGTAATCTTACGATCGTTTTGTAAATAAATTATATTTAGAATATAAATAGTTACATGCATATTGATTCAATATGTAAAAGTTGGTATAAAAAATAAAAATATAGGTTATAAGACCAGAAAAATCACATTTTATGTATGTTTTACACTGTGTTTTACATTCGTAATTTTACGTAATATAAAATATTTTTTACGGCGACTACATATTTTCTTACGTCCTCTTTTTATGTATAAAATAAGATAAAATTTACGAAACGTAAAAATACGGTGAATTGATGT